TGTCACCATCATCGGTCATTCGTGAAATGCAAATTAAAACAACACTTGAGATTCCATCTCACTCCAGAAAGAATGGCTGTTATCAAATCAACCCACAACAAATGCTGGACAGGCTGTGGGAAAAAAAGAACCCTTCTCCACTGGTGGGAGTGTAGACTGGTGCAACCAGAGTGGAAATCAGTGTGGAGATTTCTCAAAAAACTAAAACTAAAAGTTCCATTTGACCCAGGTATACCTCTTCTTGGCATCTTCCTGAAAGAATTAAAAGCATCATACCACAGGGATATATGCACACCCATGTTTATAGCAGCACAGTTTATAATAGCTAAATCTGGCAAACAGCTCAAATGCCCACCGGCCAATGAACTGATAAAGATGTGGGTTTTTTATGCAGTGGAGTACTACTCTGCCATAAAGAAGGATGAGCTTCATACATTTATAGCTAAATGGATGAACCTTGAGACCACACTCTTAAGTGAAATAAATCGGACACACGTGTTTAAATATCACATTGTTTCTCTGGTGTGAGAAATCAAAAGTGGAAATAAGGACTAAAATGTATAATGGGGAAATGGGAAGAAAGTGTTCAAAGGGGAAGGGGAACAAAGGAGGAGGGAGAGAGGAGGGGATAAGAAAAAAAGTGAAAATAGCTGCAAAAATGGAAACAAAGCTTTTGTACATAGGGAGGGAGAGGAGGGGGCTTGAGGGGAATGGGATAAAATAAAATAAAATTTATATTAAATAAGGTAAAATTAAGGGCTGAGAATGTAGCTCTGTGGTAGCGCGCTTGCCTAACCCAAGCGAGGTCCTGGGTGCCAATCCCCAGTGAGGCAAAAATAAATAAATGAGTTAATGACTCCGTAAAAAATGATAACTTAGAGCGGGTGTTATGTGTCACCCTGACAACACGACATAGGTCCCCACCACCGCCCAACTTGGCCAGAGTCACACCCAGCAGGAAACTTTATCGCCCTCCAGAAAAGCTGTTACAGACAAATTTGGTGCCTGCAGGAAAGGCCTTCACGTCCCAGCCGTCTGGTGCCAAGAGACATCTGTACCCACCTGGTCCAAGGAGCACAGACCACCCTGTCTTTGCCCCCAGACTCCTGGAGGCGACGAATCCTCTGATCAACACCTGGCAACTGCCTAGCAACCACCTGTGTGCTTAGGTCTGTGCCGACTCTCGTTCCTGCCTGCTTTGCACTTGGGTGAATGAAACAGCTTTGTTTGTTCACCCAAGGCAAAGCCCAGTGGCTTCGCTGCTCTTTTGTCTCAGCTACTCCGTGGTGGGGACATGGTTTGTAAGTCCCTAGGGCTTCAAGCATTAAAATTTAATCCGCATTGTGAGGTATTAAGAGGGTGGGAACCTAATCTGCCGATGGAGATAAAATCATGGGGTGGAGCCCCGTGATTGAATCTTGGTGGCTTTGTAAAGAGGAGGAGATAAACTCTCTCTCTCTCTCTCTCTCTCTCTCTCTCTCTCTCTCTCTCTCTCTCTCTCATCTCTCTCTCCTTCTTGCTGTGTTGATGCCCTGCACTGCCTTGGAACTTGCCGGTGAGGCCATTGCCAGATGTGACCCCTTGTTACACCTTCAGAATCGTGGGCCCAAATGTACAGTCTTTACAACTTACCCAGTTCGCGGCATTCTGTTATTGGCCACAGAAAATGGACCATCACGGGATGGAGGATATGACACAAAATATTTAAAAAGTCATGTCAGGGTGAGGGGAGAGGAGACCCTGGGGCTGTGCATGCCAGCATTAGAGTAGGACTCTGCCATTCCCCGTGGCTGTCTAAGACATGTAAAGCGGGGTTCAGATGTCACTCTCAGATGCCTTACCTGCCCTGAAAGCTTGGTGTGAACTGCTTGGCCTGTACCGTACTCTCAACTTAACTCTGCAGTCAGAGGTGGGCTTAGCAGGTGAATGGCCCTGGGAAGGTTCCTTTGAAGGCTGGTTGCCTGGGAGGGTCCAAGATGACCTTGAGGATGTCCTTGAACACTGGGGCTGAGTGAAATCAGCTGTCTCCAGAGTTTCCATGTACACACGTGAAGGGGGTTCTTCTGTTATTGGAGTTTTAGGGTGAAGGTTCTGACTTTGGGAGTCCCAACGATCAGGCAGTCTCTTGCCCCAAAACTCCAACCAAGGAGAAAGGGCAGGAAAGGAGCTTTACTTAGAGTGGCCACAATGGGAAGGTCAGGTAAGGAAGCTCATGAACCTGTCTTCCCGGGCTGACAAGAACTTGGAAGAGTCAGGGGCCACTGGCAGATTTGTCAAAGCCTGGGTGTCTGAGGACATAAAGTCTGTCATTTAGTGCAGGCAGAGTTTGTTACAATAATAATGTCAGCACAGACGACCACGCGTGTACCACGTGGCCATGCGAGGTCGTGGGGCTGTTTTGCCTAAGTGTGTTTTCAAAAAAGCTGATAAAAAAAAAAAAAAGACGCGCAGCTCTTGGACTCAGGAGCTACAGCTCCAACTCCCATGCTCTGATGCTGCCCTGTGCTGGAGATTAAAGTCAGTTTCTGCCTTTTTGCGATCTCTGCTCCATGCCTGTTCTTTCCTTTGGGAACCTCACCCGACCAAACCTCCCTGCAGCTCTCTGCCCCGACAGGAAGTTTTATAGAAAAAGGAACAAAAGCAGAATTAGGGTTGCCTAGCTGGCAGGGTAGGGGATCTTGGTCAAACTGCAGTCTCCTTGATGGTGATATCTTAGGACCTGTTCTGCATGGTAGCTCTGGAGAAGCCCTGGGCTTGTGGGGACAGTCTGCTTCCTAGGAGATGACTGCTCTTCCTGGGGTGGCTGCTCCCAGTGGGGAGGTGATCTCATCAGGGCAATTTGTCTTGAGCCTCTGCTTTTCCTGTAATCTCAGGTGACTGCGGATTTAGGAAAATAATAGGAGACTTCTGTGCACCCAAGCCAGGGGGTCTGAAAAGGATGGTTGTGAAAAACTGACCCTGCATATCTTGAGAATGACTTTGCACTTATCTTGTATCCTCACTTTTGAAGAGGGATGAAATGAGTAAATTCGGGGTTAATAAACTTTTTTTTTTTTTTTTGGTGCTGGGGAGCGAAGTCAGGTCCTTGTGTTTGGGAGGCAGGTGCTGGAACCACTGAGCTAAATCCCCGCCCCCGCCCCCCCCCTTTTTTTTTTGAGACAGGGTCTCACTATGCGGCAGAGGCTAGCCTTGAACTCAAGGGGTTCTTCTGCCTCAGCCTTCCAAGGGCTGGGTTACAGGCCCCTGTGCCTGGTAATAAGCCTTATACTACTAAATATTGGACAGTCTGTGCTTCAGGGGTTAAGGATGCCCACACTCAGAGCTGAGCAGGGATCTGACATAAAGTTTAAGGCAATAAAACAGACAGATATAAAATAAAGCGGAGATGCCAAACTTGATCCTGCTTTTAGTTCCCCGCCTGCAGGCCCTGCCTCTAAAGCCCTGTTACATTTCCTGGATTGCTCACACACAGGATTCTAGGAGCAGGGCAAGGAGAAAGTCCTGGGGCAGCCTGGCCGACTGCTCTCACCTGGGCACACAGCCCGGGAGATCCCTCCCTCTCTTCGGCACCTCCCGGAGTGTGAAAGCCCCACCCACAGCCACACAAGTGATGATGGGAATTTCTGGAGTGAGTGCGACCACTAACTAAAGTGTGCTCTGCTTTGGGTCACTGTCGTGTTCAGAGATTAAAGACCAAATAAGTCAAAATATAGTCTGAGTGATGTTTAGGATTTCGCTCCATATTATTATAGGCTGCTAAGGTAGATAGAAATTAATAGGTAGGCAGATAAGGATTAGGTCCTTGAGGGAGTCAGTGCAGAAAATGAGGGAACAGCAAAAACCAGAAGCTGGAGGGGAATCTGAAGGCTGAAGAGCGCTGGGCCTGGAGCGGGGGAGTCAGGCCTGTGATAAACCACGGCTGGAGACTACGCTGTGATTAGCGTCACCTGGTCCAGTTGTCCCTGGCTTGGCTTTGTGAGGTCCCTGAGGTTAAAATGAGGAAACCATCCCACCCTGTTAAAATAGGTCTGCCAGTTTGTTGACTCTCATCACAGAAGAAAAGAATCTCCAGCACTGATCAGAAAGAAACACGAGTAGGATTTATTAGACCAAGATTCAGGAATGGAGGGTGGTGAAAGAAACCAGCGCCTGCCAAAGATCACGCGGCTCACTGACAGAGCTCCTTTGAGAGATTTTATTAAAGAACTGCGGTGGCAGTGGCTGGGAAGGGAACAAAGGAGAGAGAGGGAACGGGACAGGGGCTTGGTTGGACAGTGGGTGACTGGGGTAGGCGGGTCGGGGATTGTGTCAGCTGCACGGGCAGCCACTCAGGGGCCACTCCTGGACCTTTACTACGACCCGCTGAGGTGGGGAATGGAAACTTTAAGGTGAAGGAGGTTAATTATCAGAACGGCGGCAGCCATGCCACGGCGCTTACCTTACAGTCCTCCCTTTTTTTGTTTGTTATGGCCTCGGGAAGAGGGGCGAAGAATCTCTCTTCTGTAGCTTTTTCCTGCTGAAAAGGGGCAGGTGTGAGGTGATGAGAGGCCGAGGGAGGGGTCTCTGGGTTCTCATCTCTTGTCTTTGCGGGAATGACATAGCTGTTGGAGGGCTGCTTGTTGAGCAGCTTTAAGGGATGCAATAATGGCGAGATCATGAAGCTATGCGGGTTCATCTGGGCATATATAGTAGTTTGAGGGGCAGCATTACCATGGGTGGTCTGAAATGGCGAAGAAATAATTGAGTTAGACGTATCCTAAAAGTATCATACACACACACACACACACACACACACACACACACACATATACACACACAGCAGGTGGAGGGGCCTTTTTGGGCAATAATCAAAAAATAATAGCACTGCCAAGGAGTTAAATGCATATTTTCTTTTAATCGGGAGCATGTGTAACTGGGAAGGTGACTGGATAGCAGAACAGATGGACCAAAACTCTAGTGTGGAAGTTAGGTGGGAACCAGGCATGATTTATATTTTTCAGGTGCCAACTGGGGACCACAAACTCTTTTTTGTGGGAACTGCAGTATCCTAGGAGTAGAACTAAATTGCCTTGACTCTGCTATGATGAATCTAAGGAGGAGCTCATACACTCAGCACAGAAAGGGCAATCTTTGGGTGAGTATGGCAAGTGGCAGATCAGGTCTTTTTGAGTTGGCAACAGGTACTGTTGTGAGATGTATAAAAAGAATTGTGTGTCCTACAAGTGGGGTTGGGAGAGTTTTGGGCCATTGGGAGATTTTAATGTAATGGCTCAACTCTTAGCTATGGGGGTGGGAGTGTAAGCCAGCAGACAAGGAGAAGGGTATAGAAGGCATTTTTTTAAACTAAAATCTTGGAGGGTTCCCTGGTAGAAATGTTCTATCGACCAATCTAAGATCCTATCCACTGATCTTTTTTGAGGACAGAACCAGTGGAGGTCTTGTAGTCAAGTTATGAAATGAAGAAACCGCAGCTGGATCTGGATCTACATCATGGGGCTTTAATCAGAAGGCAGGTTGGTGAAGTGGTCACTTCCTGTACAATAAGCTGATTGACCGTCTGATTAGAAATTTTTTGGCTTTGATTTTGGAGGATCAGAGTAAGCAGGGGCAACTGTGGCCAGAATGAGGGTCAAGAACAGAGATTAGGGCCGAGGATTTAGCTCAGTGGCTCTGCCACCTGCCTCGCAAGCACAAGGACTTGAGTTCAATCCCCGATATGAAAAAAAACAAACCAAAACAAACAAGAAAAACAGATTATTTATGGTGTCCAGTGACATCTGAGATATGAGAATAGCCTACGATGTCTCATAGCCCTGGAGTTTTATCTCTGCCTTAAATGAAATGTAGAAAAATGTGTAACCTTGAGATATAGAGACCCATTTACTTAGTAAGTGAAACATACAAACAAAAAACAAAAAACAAAAAAACAACTTGTACTGTTTTAAAAATAAATGAACTCCCAGTTGACTTGTAGATACAGAAGGAAGACAAAAACCCATAGAAAGGTAAATTAATTTTTGTTTACAAATAAGCAAACTTGAATACCAAAGCTAGAACTCACATATCTATTTTACAATAATTAGAACAACAAAACAGACAGGGGCCTACTATGGCCAGAAGACACATGCAGGTCAGCAAGCCCAATAAGGGAAATAGCTATGGCATAATCTGCTGGAGCCAGGAGTAGTCTTGGGTCATTTCTCATGTAATCCATTGTTTTTAAGGTTCTTGATGTATCGCTGTAATTTTTAACCTTTGTGTTGACTATGCCTAATTGGTTAACAAAATAACCCTCTTTATCTAGAGCCTGGCACTTTTGGGGGGGCAGGGGAGGCTGCTTGTTAGCATGTTGAGGGCACATCTATTTTGGAGCAGGACGGCTGCTAGACAATTAATCTGGTCCTGGACCGTGTTTAGGGATCGGCTTATTTTGTCCATGTCTTTTAAGATTTTTATTGACATTGTCTGATAGGAATGTGTAGAGATAGAGATAGATGCTATACCCATCACCATGCCAGTGAGGACCCCTCCTTTTATCAAGGGGACTGGGAAGGGGGCCACCCTCTTGTTGACCTTTGACTGTGGGAGGATCCTTTTAAACATCTGGGATTCTGTAGAGATGGTCAAGGGGGGCTGAGAGATGCTATGTAACAGAAAACTTTAGATCAGTTGAGGCATCAGAGTGCTTCCTGTCTGCATATGAAGTATGGGCCATTGGATAGGCAGACGGGGTGCTCTTCTGAGCTAAAGAGGGAGCAAGCAAGGCAAGTGATGCTGTCATTTTGCCCCATGCACGTCAGGTTAGTGGTTTGTGTAGGGAATGGGAGACTGTAGCAAAGGGTCCCAGAACTGTGGATAAAGGGGCAGTATTTGGGACATACAGGTTAAAACCTAGGGGAATGGGAATTGGAGTGAATGAGTGGAGGTAAACAGACATAAACATCCAACAGTCTGAGATATTGGCAGGGAGATGGTAGAGGGTGGTATTAAATAGGTGTTGTAGCCTTGTTTGGAGACTGGGTTATCTGGTTTACCACTTGGAGGTCTTTCTCTTTATAGGGAGGTGGAGTGGTGGGCCTCAAAAGTCTATCACTAATGCCCATTTGTTGATTGCCTCTTTTGTTTATTCTTTTCTGCTGGGTGTTTAAGACCAAGTTAAAGTGAGACCTGTGTTAATCAATATGAACCTCTTGCTATCTGTCAAGGTCAGTTAAGTCTCTCCAGGCATCATCTTGGAACCATGTGTAGATCCTCTTAGCTCTTCTGTCAGTGTCAGCAGTTAGGATGGGTCATGGCCTTGCTTGACCATGGTGCTTTTAGTGAAAGCATGGGAGATTTTTTTCTCTTGGTGACCCTCCTTTAGCACACATTACATTTGTCCTCTGGTGTCCACCTATCTCCGTGTTCAGGAGGTTGGGTGACTTACCAAGGATGTAAGATGTTGTAGACAAGGTTCTTTCATACCTTGGATCTTTGATGGCCTTGGAGGGCCAGGGCCAAAATATTGGCGATCTTTTTAGCCCAGTTACCTTTTAGTGTTGGTCTCTGCCCTTTGGTGGTTGAACACCCAGAAGAGAAGATCAGTGACATCAGTAGTATGGTAGGAGCTTAATTATCATAACTTTATGTAGATAGCAAGCACCCTGGAACCTAAAATACAGTTAAAGGGCTATTATTTTATCAATCATGGTTGTTTTAGTAGTTAATTTTCTATAGAATATTAACAGAACAAACTTGTAATCAGGAGCCACACATAATAATAATATTTTAGCATGACAATCATGATGACATCTTTGCAACAAACAGATATGTATCTTAGTATAAAAGAGCCATTGTTAAATGTATTTATCTTTTTAAAAAATATATAAAAACAAAAAACCCAGGAAACAAGTTACTTAAGTTGTTACCTTTTGATAGGATGTCATCTAAGGAAAGTGTATGGGGCCTACAAATATATGTATAATCATAAGTAGGTGGAGCAGAAGAGAAGGATGAATACCTGGATCAAAAGCTATTTCCATAAACAATATGTTGGAAGACCTGCATGGTCAGACAACATGAATACATTTTGTATACCAGAAAAGTAGTAATAATAATTATTATAATTATATGAAATCTTATGTCCTGTAATGTAGCTTGGTATCAAAGGATCCTTTTTTTCCCAGAAAATATTATATTTTGAAGATGACCATTATAAACATATCACAGTAACATAATTAGAACTCAACCCTTTGATGATAGCCAATGTAAACATTTTATAACAACATATTTGATGAGGCACATCTTTTTATAGGCTATGAAAATTATTGGGTCTCCCATTAGTGAACAAAGATCAGAATAATTTTTTCTGAGCAGCTGCTTCATTTACCAACAGGAGTGTACCCAAACCTAAAAGTTTATATTTAATTATCTTAACAAATTTTTTTCTTTTTTTTTTTTTTTTTTTTTTTTCAGGGACGGGTCCTTGCTCTCACAAGGCAGGCCACCAAACCGCTGAGCTAAATCCCCAGCCTTAACAATTTTTTATTTATCCTGTAGAACCAGGTTATAGAAAGTAACAATCTACTTGTATCTTTGACATCATTCTGATGAAATAACAATTGGACAAACACTTTTAAACATTTAGACACAAACACATAAGACAATTTATGAAACTAGAGTGCACTCAGATGCATTTGGTCAATTTAATTATAAAATCTCTCTTAGTTAAGACTAGTCAAAACTTTTGCAGGTCAAAATTAACAGAAATCTCTTGTAGAATTAGAATCAAAAGGAATGAAAGCTCTTTATGACTGTAAATGTAAACCTTTTATAACTAATTTGAAACCAACAAGCAAACACGTATTTTTAAAAATCATACAAAAACCTTTTATGTCAAAAGTATATCTCTTTTACTTATAGCTTTTTAAAATATTTTTTCTGTCTCATTTATTATTAACCTTTTAAAACAAACTTCAGTTGTTAAAATCTTAAGGTATCCTGTTTTTTTTCTCTCAGCAAAATTTTTGTAGGTCAATTAACAGGGAGCATAATCTTGTGCTATAGTTATTGTCAGAAGTCTGTAAGTAGAAAGTAGAGAGAAGGTCAAACTAATCCATAATTACAATTTAAGAATTTGCAATGTGAATGAAATGTTTTAAACACATCAATTAAACACCTAGAAACCAAACTCCATCAAACATTATTTTAAGTTGAAGACGAAAGCTAATTTATCAATTAGCTAGAGGAGGGAATGATAACAAAGTTTTTGCCTCATGGTGGATGTAGGGTCAAGAGTTGCTAGATGGCGGTGGAGGTTTACAAGATGGCGGTGGAGGTTTACAAAATGGTGGGGGAGAAGAGGCACAGGTGGCGGAGGGGAAGAGGGGGTATAAGATGGTGGCGGGGAGGGTCAGAGTCACAAGATAGAGTTTTACAAGATGGCGGTGGAGAGGAAGAGACACGTGGAGGAGGGGAAGAGGAAGGGCAAGATGGAGGTGGAGAGGAAGAGACACGTGGAGGAGGGGAAGAGGAAGGGCAAGATGGAGCGGGTCTCTGAAAGCGCTAAGGAAGAGACTCATCTGCTGGGTCAAACTCTTCAGAGGTAGAGGAGGAACTCGGGGATTTAGTAGCAGGCAAAACATGAGGAGGCTGACAGGAAGAACAGAGGGACGGTTTAGATCTTAAGTAGGAAATCTCACTCCATTTGCCCCCATGCTCATAGAAGTAAAGAACCCGGATAAGTGAGAGATCAAAGAGCCATTAGTAAAAAGCCGGGCCTAGTGGCGTACCCCTGTAATCCCAGCACTCGGGAGGCTGAGACAGGAGGATCCCTGTGAGTTTGAGACCAGCCTGGAACATAGTGAGTTCCAGGTCAGTCTCAACTACATAGTGAGACCCTGTCTCAAAAAAAAAAAAAAAAGAGCCACTATTTTAGTTATCTAGCAAATTGGGGCCAAATTTGGGTAGCGAGAGCTGTGAGGCAGCCCAGGGGGGAGTCTGCTGGAATGGGTTGTTTTGATCCCATGGTGGAGAAAGGAAACTTCTGTTACCACTCACGGAGGCGTCCCGGGGTGAGGGACAGAGAGTCTGCTCAGGAGGGTTGTCACCACTCAGGGGCGGAACGCCGGGCCACAGTTGGGCGGGGAGACTTGGGACCTGAGCTCAGGAATTTTCAGAAAGAGGCCTCGGAGGCCACGGTTGGGGGTCTCTGCCCTGGATTGAAACCCAGACCGACAAACCCAGCAAGAAAGGCTGGTTATCTACCTACCCATGAGGCCGGTGGTGGGCGTGGAGAGGTGACTGGGTGAATGGACACGAACTGTTGGGGCGGGAGGATGGGGCACCAAGCCTCTGGGTCCCAAGAACCGCGGCGTTAACGCCAGGAGCCGGGTATCACCGGATCGGATCGGAGTCACAGCACCGATGAAAGAAACCGGCACCTGCCAAAGATCACTCCACACCCGACAGCGCTCCTCTGAGAGATTTTATGACGGAAAGGGACCAGCGGGGAGCAGGAAAGGGGCTTGGTTGTACAGTGGGGGACTGGTGTAGGCGGGCCGGGGATCGCGTCAGCTGCACGGGCAGCCACTCAGGGGCCACTCCTGGACCTTTTCTGTGACCCGTGACAAGTGAGGTGGGGAATGGAAACTTTAAGGTG